ATTACTATTTTATAACCAAATGGTCAACTCTCCTAGGTACATACTTTCATTACTTCAACTTTTCATTGGTTTGTAACTTTAGAGTGCCACACATTGAACTGTTTAACATCCCGTTTTAAACGAGATTAAAAAGTATCGTGTTTACTCTTTAATACTATCTAGTGGTCTTCGATCTATTTAACTCAATACGTACGCCATAAAAATTAAAAGAATGATTGTTTTGTTTACTTTTTGTATATAAAAAATAATAATAAAAAATTGGGACATTATATTTGGACATTTTCCAATGTCCTTCCCATTTATATTGATCCATGCGGTCAATTAATCATTCTATGGACCCTATTAAGCATGAGAGAATTCGTTATCATAAGTAATGCATTGCAGAGTGTAGGCGCCTAACGACCTAAACATGATGAATCTAATTATATGGCCACTAGGGTTCACATCGAGTGGGGGATTATCTTTTCTTGACTTTTATAAGAAATTCAATTTATTAAGTGATGTTTTAATGTTTATTATTATAAAATAACAAAACAAAAAATGGACTAAACTATTGAAACTCCACTTGTTCTTGAGAGATAATAGTCTTTCTAAATTCGAATGAAGATTAAATTCATGAACATATTTAGAATCTATTTTGCAAGACTTCTGCTTTCTGCAGAAGAGCTTCCCGTTAAAATCATCATAGGCCAATTTTTTCAAAAGCTCTTTTAGTCAAACAAAATGCTTTTAAAAATTTATCCGAACACATTCATAATTTCAAAGATGCTTTAAATTTTTAAAATTCCTACTAAATAATACCTTACTATTTGAGGTAGAGTGAATGAAGGAAGCTAATTTGAAAGAATAGAACAAAGAGTACTAGGGGAGAAATTGAAACTTCGAATATCCAAATGTATCTACTAGTTTTCTTGTTTGGCCACATCCCAAAAAAAGTCTTCTAGAATTCTTTGTCATATCTATATTCAACGGTGAAAGGCCAACCATTTCTTTATCATTTGCCATCTAAATTGATGACCTTCATAATTATTTTTACTAAATTTTTTTGTAAGGATATTGACCATTTCATAATTTTATGTGACATAATTGCCCTTCCCATCTGAACACACACTATAAATTCATTGCCCCTCAGTCCTGCCAACTACATCATATCCAGAACACCGGAGAAGATGTCTAACGTCACCACACTGTGTATAATAACCCTCCTATTTCTAACGTCGTCCCATACTCGTGCCCGACCGGAGCCGACATTTCGCGGCGTCACTTCCATGGAAACTCATAGAAGGGTAAGTATTTATAAACCACGTTAAGATGATAAATGTTTTATTTGTAAGTTTATGAATCCTATCGTGCTATTTGATTATTGATTATTTTATTTACTTGTGTTAATTAGGATAATGAAGAACATATGGTAGATGTGGATCAAAAGAGCTGTGATGGAATTGGAGAAGATGAATGCATGATGAGAAGAACCCTTGAAGCTCACCTTGATTATATCTATACGCAGAAACAAAAGCAACCATAACATTTTCATTTTTCTTTTTGAAGAGTTATACATACATGTACGCGTACGAGTGTTTAGATTTGTTGTGCTATACGTATTTCTATTTCCTTTAGAATTTCTTTTCCAGAATAGGAAAGGTCCGTTGTGAATTATTGCCAGTGTAGGCGTCATGCTATGTACAAATATATATTTGATCAGCACACTCATTTCGTTTCTCCTTTTTTATGCTTCTTTTCTTTTTAATTATAATTTTTTCTTGAATGAATTCAGTAAATTTTTAGTAAAGCTCTATTTAGTCGATGAAGTTGAAAGATAATTTATGTTTTTTCCCATTGATTAAAGCGTAGAGTTAATTACAAGACTATATATAAAGGGTGTAAGAGATAAGGTGCTAATGTCATCTCTTAAGTTTAGAAACAAAGATACAACGATAAGCCTTATGTAGTGGGAATTGTTACAAGTAATATTGTTGGATATAAGCTTCCATGGGTGATGAGGAGATGCAATAGAGTTCCGGTGAAATTGAGCTTGCTTGGATGACCTCAAGCTGTGGAGATAACCTTCTACCGATGATAAGGAGATTGATAGATCGTTCTAGTGAAATCGAGCTTGTTTGGATGAGTTTAGTAAATTAGGTATCAGTATCCTCAAGTTTATCTTTAAAAAATTATTCAAATGAATATCATTTTTTGGGTACGATGAATCATTGAAACTGAGAATTTGATTTTGTTATGGTCGCATATATTACATTCGTATCATCAAGTACTATCAAAATTATGAGTTTGAGGAACCTATAATGATCTCTCCTAACCACGAAAGTCGGAATTTCTTTAAAAGTTAATAATCAAAGTCTATGAAACGAGATCAAAACAAGGTCATAATTTCAGGCACTCGACTGGTTTTCTCTAGGACCTACATCTTTTCTCAAATAAGCCAAATCATGAGACCACGTTGATTGAACCTAGACTCATTTTTTTTTTNTGTCATGTGGGACCCAATATGAGAGTCAAAGTCAACAAAGATGACTGGTTTTAGTTTGCGATGGTCCATAAAGTCATTTTTTCTTCTAGAAAGCGTCTCCAGACATTTCCAGCAAGTTCACTTGTAGATCTTTGATGTCATCACAAGCTCACTAATGGAAGATATGATATGATATGATACGATCTGTTTTTTTATTTTTTGTAACGGGATGGGGTTGGAGACTGAAAAAATTGATTCTACTGAGGAACTTACTAATAAGCTCCACCATCATTTTTATGATATGATATGAGAGATGTCCTTCGCTTGATGGTGTTGTGTATTATAAATCTTGAATTTATGTCAAAATCCAAGTTTTGAAATTGACTTCCAAAAGGCGTTTTCACTGATAATAGGAAACAACTCCCCATCTGTCAGAATTTGGGTTGTGCAATCCGTGCCCTATAGATTTTAGGAATGTTCAGTTTGGCCCTCAGCTTTTGTCCTTTGTTTATTTTGAGTCTGTTCTTCTTGTCATTCCAATCCTTCATCTTCTATATTCACTCAATTGAATCCATGCATTCTTCAATCACCTTCTTTAGTTGAAATCAACTTTTGAATATTTGTAATTCAGCCCATGAACTTTGAAATTCTTCCTTTTTCACCCTTCTTTCTCTGATTTCTACTTTTTTTGCTCAAACCTATCAAAACTCGAGTATATCTTGCAACAATCGATTTTTAAGCAAATTAAATAGCAATTGACTCAAAAAGAGGCCTAAATATGATAGTCAGATAGGTGTACAAAATTACACTGACAAAATGACATAGAAAACAAATTCAAAATATTAAAAAGAGTGGATTTTTTTTTTTTTTTTACTTGATCTTGTGTTGGAATGATTGCACCAAACTTCTGATTCAAAATTTTTGCAATAATTTACAAATGATGAGCAAACCGCTTCCTATATCCAGTGTGAGTTCCCTAATTTAGTGGTTTTTAATTGTGATTTATGGTTGACGCTGGTTTAGACGATAGCCGATCATCATATATTTTTGGGTGTGCTTCCCTAACCAAATCCCCGCCCCAGCCCCATTCCTCAAGCCAAGTTTCAACTTGTTTGTTTAGAATGAATTTCCATTCTAAGAGTATATTTCCAAGCAACTAGCCATAGAATTCGACAAGGTAAACTTTACGGCTTAAAAATCCCCTAAAAAAATCATTGCCCGTTTCCAAATTTTCACTCAGTCTCCAAAAAAAGAAAAACAGGGGGAAAAAAATCAATCCTAAAAATTGTTAAATATAATTAGCAAGATCCACAGGGTTGAAAGAATATTACATTTTGATAACCCCATAACCTATATTTGAAATATAACTTTTATGATCCTCATGCCAATTTTGTGTGCTTTTGTGTAGGTCCATTAGCTTTCGATGTTGCAGATTTTAATGAAAGCTTACCATCTATTCACCAAAATCCATATTCATGGACCAAGGTCAAAAACGTCTCTCACTCCATGGTCAAAGTCGTATGTATCTCATCTATAGCTCTTTATGTTTAGCACTGCAATAATTTAGCCTTATGATTTGCAGGTTACCAATATTATATTTATTGATTGGCTTGTTGGCATCGGTTTTTCCTATGCAAACACATCGAAAGGATACTCTTCTTCAGACACCAAATTAGCAAAAGAAAACTATACATTTCTTAGAAGGGTAAGTTGATATTGTTAATCATAAGTCATATTTGTAAGTAGCTATTGAAGACAATAGAAGTTTAAGTATTAGGCTTCTCCGTTCCACCTATCAAAAGTTACTTATATACAACTCACACTTAAAAGTAATGTGTGAGGTTAGAAT